AAAATAAAAAATATTTACCTGGAATTTTTCCCGATACCCAGATTTTTGCTGTGATTAATTACTGCAGAATTATTTGTAATATTTAGCAAAACAACCTGTATATTTACTTTTAATATGTAAAGCCTATTCATAATGTTTGCTTTCTGTTCTGACCACCTAAAAATAAAAAGAAATAAAATCATAAAGAATCTTTTATATCTGATTATCTACCATTATTCTTGGTATGCTTGGTACACGACTTATGTAAGTGTATTTGTATATTTGTAAGTACATGTAAAATGGAATGGTTATAGACTAAACTGGATTTTTTAACTTTTTTTCTATATTTTTCTTTTTTACATTGTTATTACATTTTTATACCTTTACTTTATTTTTAACTTCATTTTTTACAATGCAGATTCTTTAATAGTTTTGGAATCTTTATAACAAATATATAAAGAAAATTGAAAAAAAAAAAAAGAAAAATAACGATGGTATATAAAGAGCGATTGCCGATAACGGGTCAATGGCATTGTTATTATTGCTGCTACTCTCTTGCGTATAAATGCGCTTTTTCTTTCAATTTAACACAGTTCACTTTTTAACTTTCTATCGTTCGAACAATTTCTTTTTATATATTCTCTGGTCGGAATATTAAAAAAAATAAATCAATTTTATTTTTTATTTCTTTGTTTTTGTAAATTTTTGAATTTTTAAAAAGAAATACGGTGCTATAAACGCGGTCCTAAAAAAAAAATGAAATATTTTATAATATTTTTTATAATTGGATTAATTTCAATTGGAAATTGTAATGTAATTAAAAGAGAAGAACCACCAGCAGCACCACTATTATCCGATGAATTGGATAGTACAAATATAAAGGATAATGTTATAATACCAGAGGATATTATTAAAGCAATCTTTGATGAGACTACTGTTCTAAAAGCAGAATCAGAATCCAGTACATCATTACCAATTCAAAATTTAAAATCACAAAATTTGAAAAATTCCGATAGAGATGAAGTGTTACTTGAAGCTCAACCAAAAAGTAATGATGCAGAATTACCAATTGAATCAGAATTAAAAAAAAAAGATGATGATTCTGAATTATTAACTGAAAATAAAATAAAAAATGATGAGAAGGAATTAGTGATTGAAACTAAAGGAAAAAGTGAAAATATAGAATCATCAGTTGAAAATAATGAAGAAAATAATGATGATTTAAGATTAATAACAACTGAACAAAGCGAAAATACTGATGGTTTAAGACAAAATGCTGGAAGTTCAACACAACGTCCAGGTATCATACAACAATTTGTACAAAATAATCCAATATCAAGTTTTATACAAAATATTCGACCAAGACCAACATCACAACCAGGTGCTGCTGGTGGTAGTGGTACTGCAAGCGATACAGTACAAGGTAGTACAACACCACCAAATATTTTCCAACAGGGTTTACAAACAATTCAACATAATATACAAAATTTACAACAAAATTTACAACAACAAGTTCAAGGATTATCACAAAATATTCAAGGATTTATAAATCCCAATGCAGTACAATCAACTAATACAACATCAAGACCACCATTTAATATATTTAATAATTTATTCCCACAACCGAATGCAACTAATCAACAGCAAACTGGTGGACCAATACAAAATATATTAGGTGGATTATTTGGTGGAGGACAAGCTGCCAATAATAATAATAATCGTGATTCTCCATCAACAACACTATCACCAGGATCAGGTGAATTAACAACATTAAGTACAACAAATATTGCATCTTCAGTAATAGATGAAGTAAATGATCGCCCAGATTCAAGTGAAAATGAACATGATATTTATGTTGGAGATGATGAAAGCGCTTCCCCAACTTATTAAGAATCAATAAATAATAAAGAATTTAGTTTTTAAGTGAATTAAATATTAAAAAAAGAGAAAGAGAGAAAAAGAAAAGAAAAATGAGAATAACAAATTTTATTGTTGCAAAAATAAAAGAAAAAAAAATCTTAAATTTTTTTGTCTTTTTGTTTTTTTTTCAGTTCAGCTTTAAACAGTGTTTTAGAATTTATTTTTAAATGGAAAATTTTATTGTTGTTGCGATTACAAAGCTTGTAATGTTGAATCCTGACTATGCTAATTTTAAATTGCATTCACACTTTTTGCTAAATTTAAAAGTGTTTTGGAAATTTATGAATATCAAAAAAGAATATTACAGTTCTTAATTCAAATTATACATTCGAGCCGTTTCCACTCGAAAAGCAATTATTTATTGCTCAAATATAATTTTTTTCTGCGAAACCTTTTTATTTATTTCTCGTTCCATAGCAAAACCGTATTAAAAGTTAAGTTAATCGAAAGGAAAAGCATAATAGATAAAGCAAATTAAGAAAGGCTATTGATTTTTTTTCACTTTAAATATTTCACTTAGGCTCTTATTTCAGAACTAAAGTAAATTTTTCAAAATGAAAGGCTTAAAAGATTAGTATTTGTTTAAGATGATCAGTATGACATTGATTTGCCAGAATCTTTTCAAAGGATTGAGTAGGAGTTACCTGTTTTATTTAACTATGAACTTGTTCACTTGTAATACCGCTCTGCAAGCATTAAAAATATATTATTCACGTCTTTCTATTCTCAAAAGGGGGTTATAATTGGGCAAACCATCAAATAGGCGGATAGATATAATATATGATTGGAACTGTTTAGAAAGTGATGTTAAGCGTGAAATGGAGTATCTTGCGGAGTCAGCAATTAGATATACTAAATATCAAGCTTTTGACGACACAGGCACTTCATCTTACAATTTCCATGTCTTAGTATAAAACTTTAAAATGATAAAGAACATTTCACATTGGTTTTCATTTTTATAGTAACAGCGATGCTTGTTAGATATTGAAAATGTTATTGCTACCCAATTTAGTGAATTTTAACTCTCTTTACCAATTATACTCTGAATATGTTATGAATTTTTTGCTTTATATCTTCAAAAATAAAGAATGCATTTAAAATGTAAGAAAATCCATAAAAGCGTATATTCCTCGAGCATATGGATCGACTTTAAGGTGTAGTATTGAGAAAGTTGATAATTCAAAAGCCATTAAAATGCATTTTACAAATTTTATTAGCATATATAAATTTTTATTGATAAAACGTACATCCCATAAGCCAAGATAATAATTATGTAGGATTTTCGATAATAAAATCAGAATGAGAACAAAAATTATGATGAAGAATAAATTGCTGTGGTCCAAGATATTTTAAATCCCTTTTTGTTTTTTTCATTTTTGACTTTTTTGCAAGTAGGTTAACCAAAACTGGAATGAAAGTCCAGTTTTGGTTTATTTCGGGGTTTAATTTGTTGTTTCGTTTTTGTAGACCACAATAAGATAAAGTTGAAATTTCTTATATGATAATTGAAATAGTGTGTAACGAAAAAAAAAACATTATTTGCAGTGATTTTTTTTATGTGCATAATAAAATTTATCAGAAATTATTATGCAGAATTTCTTTTAGAATTTGAGAATAAAAAAATGTTAATAAATTTGATTGCATTTTAACTTTTATTAAAATTAAATAACGGGACATAAACTTGTATGACATTTGTCAATATATACAAATTTAGTTGGTATTTTGAAAATTACAATGTCAATTAAAATTACAATTTACATTTGTTGCAATTTAAGATTAAAAATTGAGCTTCAAGTGAGCAGATTTGAGAAATACCTCAAGTTCAATAAACTTTTTTGCTTAATCAAATTATTTAAGTCAATAAAATTTTTAAGTAAAGCCTATATTAATTAAGTTTTATTGATCTTAAAAGCGTTGTTGACATTAAAAATTCATTTTTAAAATTGTAAAAAATTTGTAATAAAATAAAAATAAAAAAAATTTATTATGTGCATTTTTATTTAGCAACTGAAATACCAAATTAATTTTTATTAAAAAAAATCAACTTATACTGTTACTCAATCTAGATTTCAATTTGCTAATTATCGAATTATAATTTTAATTTTAATGAAACTCTAATTAAAACACAATGAAATGTCAATTTTCTTACTTGTTTATTGTTGAAAAATTAAAAAACCTTTTAAAATTATTTTATAATATCAGCAAAAATGAGGACAAATTGGAAATCTTTACCATAATATTCAAAATTTAATATACATAATGTGATTAAGAATTAGACTGGGAAAATAATCTGTTGGGAAAAATACGAATCAGAATATTGGCTTGCTTTGTTAAAATATTTTATACGAATATCAAAGCTGATCATAACTGTGCGATTATATTTTGGTCAAACTGATGTAAACTAATAAATTGGGTGCGCGAATAGAATTCAGCATCTACAATCCACTTCCGAATAATAAGAAATCTACAATTTACTGCCGTAAATTTCTATGTACAAAATTTGAGAATGACAAAGTGAGCTTTAAAACTGAAAACAATTCAACAATTTTTTACGAATTTCTAATTGACCTAAAAATATAACGTAATATTGTCATAAACGTATTTCACGAAAAAAAAAACCGTTACCCATCCTAATACACCTATTTGTAGTTAAATTGCTTCTTACACTAAGCACTTTTTAATAACAATGCAAATAAATATTAAAGTCATTTTAGAACATTAAAAAATTATAAGGTACACTATTCAATATTTTCTTATTGGGACCCAATATATTGTCCATTTCCAATATTTTACTTAATAAAATCTTATTGATTTTATAATTATTGTAAAATAAAAAATTTCAACTATAAAAATTTTAATATAAATGTATATGAACTTTTGGATTGATATCAAGGGCATTTGAAAATACTGTTATTAAATTATTACATTTAGTAAATATGTAGATACACATGTGTGTAGTATACATAAGGTGTGAACAATGTAGCTGGTTCATTAATAATTAACATATGAATATACTACGTTTAACTAAAAATAATTTCTTATAATAAAAATATAAAAAAAAATCAATAAATTTTATTTTTCTTTTCTTAAATAAATTTTAGTTACAATACGCAAATAAAAAATTTCTAATCTATTTAGTATATCAAATGGATTATGAGACATTTAAACAGAATGTAAACTATATAACGCATCCGCAACATCAAATCCAATTTAAGGAATTGAAAAAAAAGAAAAAAAGAACGGAAGAACAACAATTTTATTCAAATTAAATTATGAATTCTTATTAATTAAAAATATTATGTAAACTGTTGAAATGAGAAAAAAAAAGTCTTTTATGTTTAATTACAAATTATGTCATATTTGTCACCGCTACTTAAATTAGAAAATATGCCAACACATTTGGAGGGGGCTGATGATGATGAATGTAAACGGTATGAAAAACGTTGTGTTGTTGCCGAATGGAGAGTACCAATTCATGGCAAATTATTTCGTATAGAATTTGAACATGGAACTACAACTGGTAAACGTGTTATATGGGTAAATGGATCGGTAAGTATTTATGTAATTATATTACGTAATATTAAGAGCGAAAATTGAGCTGAGATTGTGACAAAGCAATACTGAAGAAATCTGAAAATTTTTTTTTCAAATTGTTTAATTAAAAATTACTAATATTTCCGTGAGCAGCGGCTGCATTTTTCGTTGTTTTCTTTATATTTCTGATGTTTCATTTCAAAGAAACCGGAGCCCAAAGACTGCCTTCTAATTATTTAAAAATTTAAGTAACCCATTAATGATGTACGTGGCTTGGAAATAATATATGAGTTATTTTGAAATTGCTGATAAATACAATTGTAATGTTCTTTGTTACTGAACTTTTGGTGAACAATTCATTTCAAATTTTGGATCTGTTAATATTTTTATACGATTTAACAGCACTAAAAACTAACAGCAGATTATCCGGCATTGCCATATTCGGGAACGATACAAAACATGGACCATGCGAAACGTTCGAAAACCAGCTCCAGTCATCTACAAAATTTTAATATAAAATTATTACATTTAAACAAAATTTATATTTTTATTTATATTTTTAAAGGAAATTTTAAGACGTGATTGGATGTTTAAATTGGTGGGTGAAGATGTATTTTCTATAGAAGATACTCGTTGCATACTTAGAGTAAGTGTCAATTAATTGTAATTGAACAAAATTTCACAATTCATTTTTAAGGTTGATCCAGCTGCAAATTTTCGATATTCATATTATTTATTTGTTGATGGTAAACCATATGAGCAATTTACTGAAAAACAAGCAAAAGCACTTAAAACTTGGGTAACAACTGTTAAGAATAATGAATATCGTATTGTTCTAGGTAAGTGTAGGTAATAAAAATTAAAAACATTATTGAATCCAATAATTTTTATAATTGCTTATTTTTCTTTAAATGGAATCCGTTTTTATTATGTCAACTTTATGCGAAGTTAGAAAAGGATTCACTAAACATTTTTCTAAATGGACAACTTAGAGATGAAATGGTAAGGGAAATTTCTGTTCTAAATTTTATTATTAAAAGTGCATCATTAAGTGATGATGGCATTTTTATCTTAAAATATTTTACATTATTGCAATATATTAATACAGTGATTTTGTGTCTATAACAATGCTTTTAAAATTTTTACGAGCTATCATTTAACTCCCAATATTTTATACACTACACAATTTTTTAATATTTTTCTTATATCATTCTTTTTGTATTAAAAATATTTCAATTTAAATTTGAAAGGCTGAATTTGTTGATGGGGGTACAGACACAACATTTGAACAGGATGATAATAAATTTATATTAATGGCAAGAGCAAGTGGTAACAAACGTGATGGCCTAATTCATAGTTTAATGGTTAATGACATTTTGGTATCTGAATCAACAGTTACAGATTAAATAACTTAATAAAAAACAAAACTCATTCCTTGTACTTTAAAAATATTCTACATAGCAACATAGCAGCAAGTAATTTATTTAACCGTTTACAATATAAGTGTGTTTTGAATAAAAAAAAATTATTAATTACAATTATTGATGTTATATGTGAAACCAAGTAAAATTAAAAAAAAAAAAAGAAAATTATAAAAAAAAATAGATGTTAGATGTTTTAAAAAAAAAAACTATTTAAATGTTTTAAAACTAAATTTATGTATGTGAAATGTTTATTAATGAATAGATGTTATAAAAGTATTATTGTTAACCAATATTCATAAAAAATGTAAGAATACAAAGGATTTTCACGAGTAACGTAACGAATATACATGTGTTTTCTTTAATGTACATCAACAAGTTCGTGAATTATACAAATAAAAAGATTTTTTTAAGATAGACTTGGAAATTTGTGGACCATATGGAAAAATCTACTGTGTAGACCCACCCTACTTTGATCTAATAAATTAAATCTTTGATAATTTTTTCACACCCCAGCAATTCATATGGTAAAGTGATTTCTCTTTAAGGTAGGAATTCGTTGTTTTGATTTCACTTCGTCGAAATTTATTTATTTTCAAGGCTCGTCTCATTATCTGTTATGCAATCGAATCTTTCCAAAAATTTTCTAAATTTATTTTTAAAAAATGGTTGAAGTAATTTTTGTATATACCTAAAATCAAGAAAATTTTTAATATTTTATTATTAAGTAACTTTAATTTAATATTTTACTCAATATGGCTATACTCAATATGTTTTGGTAATTCCAATAACTTAACTATGGGCAACTATAAGCAACGTACTGAGTTCGTTAATATGTGAAAAACCCTTAAATATTTGTAGTAAAAAAAAAATTCCATGCCTTTTTAATATACCCTGCATACCCAATATCCAAAAATTCTGTATAAAAAAGTTGGAAATTCCAAAGAAATTAATTTAACAAGTCAACTGATTACCTTAAACATACTTATACTACTTATTCCTACTATAGGGATGGTTCAAACTCTCTACAATATATTTTGTGTCATTATAAACATTCTAATCCAAACATTCATACACACTAAAAGAATTGACGTGACAGTTTCATTCATAATCTAAAATTTTAATGTCAATAGAAAAAAAAATTAAAATAAGATTTTCCATTTTTTCATTCACTTTTAAGAGTAACACTTTTTTTTTGAATTAAAATTTCTTAAACTTTCTTTTTAAATTTGGAGAATATGTAAATCGGAATTACAATTCTTTTAAAAAGGCACCCATATTTGTATTTACATATGTATGATTTTTCTCTTAATTATTACAATAAAAATTAGCAACAAAACCAAAGTTAAGAGAAAATTGGTTTTTTATAATTTTAAAACAGACAAACTTTTGAAATATTGTTGGTAGTGTTTTATACACGTCAGGAAATTTATTTGTATAACTGTTACCTTAAAACCATATTTCTTACACTTGTTAACATTTTATTTGATATTATCAAACTTATATACACATACAAACACATACACAGTACAAAAAAATTAAAAAAAAAAACAAAATTGGCCTACTTAATTTTTGTTTTCTTCCAAAAAAAAAAAAAGTTTCATTGATAATTCTTTACTAGTAAAAATTTTTTTCCCGGATTTTTCTGAATCAGCTTTCAATTGTGTATAGTCTATAAAATAGAAAGCTAAAAATATTTAAAATGCGCAAGTCAAAATTTAAATTTGCTTTTAGGTTTATTTTTTATTTTCTCTTGGTATTCAGAATTCTGTATTCTACTACAAGTTGAAAATATCCTTTAACAGGTTGAATTTATTTGTTATTGCCATAGAATAGGAGGAACCAGAAAAGATGGTAAAATGAAAAACAAGTTTAAAGCTTTCTAAATTATTTTTGAAAAGTTTCCCGAGCTTGTTTAAAATTTAAAAAAAACACTTTATAACTTTTAAAAGCTCAAAAAAACTAAAATTTATCGTTTATTTTTAATTAAAGTTGAAAATATGATAAAAATTGAGCAAAAAAAATTAAGTAGGAATTATGTAGGAAATAATAGGAATTAAGTAGGAAATCCATAGGAATTTATAGAAATTCGATAGGAAATAGAAAATTAAAAAACAAAAAATTTTTATGTATAAAAAGATTTTAAGAAGTATAAAGGACAATCAATGGATCTTTAATAGTTCAGTTTAATTTTAGACGATATCCCGGTGTGGTCCTTCGACAAAGGACAAGAATATTTTTTATTTATTCTTAGATTTTTTTATTTTCTTTAGTGATATTTGAAATAAAATATATATATATATACATATATACATATATATGCTTATACATATACGTATAAAAATTTCAGCATTACAGTTTTCTTGAATGGAACTCAAACTTGTATCTCGGTCGTGTATAGGTTTTAAATTTAAATATTTTTGTGTTTATTTGTCTGATTAAAGCGATTTGGAACTGAGTGCTTTATAAATTTTCTAATGAAGGAATGAATAAAGATATGAAGTTTTCGAATATTTGCTGATTATTAGAAATTAAAATAATTAATTTAATAAGAATATTTTTTTAATTTTCAAAAAAAAAATTAGAGTGTTCAAAATGTGTGAATAAATGTTTAAAGAATTCAAAAATATAAAGAATACAGAAACGAATATTTAAATCAAAAATTAAAAAATAATTCAAAAACATTTTTCTACTACACAATATGAAATCAAAGTGGAAATTAAATTAATTCAAAATTTCATTAACTTTTCAAGATTTTAATCACATAATATTAAATTCTATTGCGTATTCATTAAAAGGATTATTTTTTACGAATTTCGGTTAAACAAGGATAGTTAATTGCTCAAACATGTTACAAAAAAAAAAAATTACTAAAGGAGTTTTTATATTTTGTAATGCCTGGGGAGTGTGAATAATTTTTAGCAGGTAAGCTTTAATATGATAATTAGATTTTGTCGTAATTGTTTGTTTACAAAGAAGTTGCCAAACCAATTGATTAATTAAATACACTCTTTTAGTAATTTAAAATTGTTTTCAATATAAGAAAAAGATGTTATTGTTTTTTTGTTAATAATTATTTCCAGATGAATTGATAAGTCTAGACAAAATTTTCTAAGAAATAATGAATATTTTTCTTTTTTTTTTGAAATGACATGAAGCCAAAATTATGCAAATATTTTGAAAATAAAGAGAGAAATTCGTTTGTTAAGGGGGAAAATCTAATTGACTGAAAAAAATTACTTCTTAAAACATTAGATATGTAAGATCTGTGTATAAAAATTTAAAAAAGCAAACAAATCAGGCTTTAAAATTAAATTATTAAGCCACATAAATAAATTTAAAATTCTTTCTAAAGTTAATGATCAGGTTTAATATTATAAGAAATTACGAAAACAATATATTTATCTATTTCACTATGTCCAAAGAGAAACTATGTTGTCCTCATAAAACGATTCAAATTTCATATTAATATTTCAAAAATCACAATCGAACTTAAAATTCGATCACTATTGAAATTGAACTCTTACAATGCGCTAAATTTTTACAACTAGTATGTTACAAGTTACTTTTCCTGGTATTTGCGAAATGTAGTTCAACCTTTGAGATCAACATAGTCAAAGTACCAAACCTTTGGTTTCAAAGTTCGTGCATATGCAATATTAATTAATTTATTACTAAATCATAGATCAAAATTCCATTTTAGCTGTGAATAATTTCTTTTTTTCGAGCCAATTGTAGTTTGACCGTTTTTTAATATCTCTTATATATATTAATTGAAAACACCTTTTTTATACCCGTATTTTGTATTGTTTGAGGCATGTTAATAGTTTCTTTGGTAATTGTGACCCATATTTGAATTCCATAATTTGTATGAAAATAAAATTGAGAATAAAACAACAATTTTGATTATTTAAAATTAAATTGTTGCCCCTAAAAATAAACTAATCATAATTAAACAATGGTATTCTTATGAACGTGAAACTTATAGATTTTTTGAAAAATCAATCCTAAAATGTGCCAGATGGTTAATTTTAAGAAATTAATTTCTTATTTAAATTTTTTTTAATGCACATAAATAATCAGAATTAAAATATTTAATTCTCACCTGTGCCAATTATAATGTCAATTTTTAAATGATTTATCGTATACATATAAATAAATTTAAGGAAGAAAACAATTTGAAATTCTCTAGACAGCTAAATTAGAATTTTTTTAATATAACATAAAGACACCAAATTAATGAGTTGTATAACAAAAAAAAAAAAAGATTAAAAATCTTACTTTGAATAATGTGAAGTTTATTGCGATTGTCTAAATTGACAGTAATGTAACCTTACGGAAAGAGTAATGGTATTGTTGAACAAAACTTTTCTCCAGTTTTAATGAAGTGTAAAAATATGTGAAACGATTTTGCAATAACTGCAAGAAAAATTCAAAATTAATTGGTTTGTATGAGTGTAATATTTATTACATTGTTAGACATTTAAAAAATTAACTGTAATATATAATGATTGAAATAAAAAAAAAAGAAAATGCCCTATTAAAAAATCTGATTGTCACTATTTTATCACATTGAATATTTAATTAAATTTCAATTTTATTACATTTTGAAGCTACTTTAAGTATATTCTTTAATATGATTAAAAACATTTTTAACTTAAATTGAAAGAATTTTAAATGAGAAAGAATATTTCTAACGTCACCCAACAATATGTTGGAGGAAAAATACACTGCAAATGAAATGCGAATGGTATAGCATACAATTATGTTTGAAGTATTTCGGTATTATTTGATAGAATTTTGTTGCGTATTTTAAAAATGCATTAATTTGTATAATATACAACAATATATTAAACCATATTAAACCAATCAAATTATCATTCTCAATGTTTACTTTAAAAAAAATTGCATACATTTAGGAGCAGCAAATTTTTTATTTCAATTGAAACTTACATTCTATAATCAAACAAGTTTGTGCATGTAGAATGTTTGTTTAATAACGATTTTACATTTAAAATTTATAACTTTGTAACATGATTTTGTTCTGAAATAATTTCAAATGACATTTTTTGTAATATAAAAAATAATGTTCTATTAAATTTACGAAAAAATTTTCAATTACTTCCTAAAAATTCTGTTGTGTGTTTGTTTATTTAATACACAAAGGCAATCCAATCACTATTAACAGCTTGTTTACTTAAAAAGGACCATTATGTTTTATTATTTTTTTTTAATCATATTAGAAATTCTACTGCTGAACATACAATTTCGTTAATGTAAAAAATGTTTTTTTAAATTGTTTATGAGAGTTTTTATTTTGTGAACTGGATAAAGCAAAATAAAATCAGGAAAGCAGAAAATTTTAAAACAATTTAAAATTTTAGAACAAAAACTTTTTATCCTTATACATAAAATAAATGAGAGTAATATTTTTTTCGTAAAGGAGTGGTAACAGAAAAACAAATTAATAATTAAATTTTTGAAATATTCACCATAGTTTTTAATTAAGAAAAATTTATATTTTAATTTTTGTTCACCATTTGGTGTAATTGAGATATGAAACATGAATGTTTTTAAGATAAAATGTAATAAACTACTGTTTTAGATCAGAAATATTCAAAGAAATTTCTATATTAGATCAAGAATATTTTAGTAACATTTTGAAAAATTTTCAGGGGAGTGTTAAATTACTTTTCAAAAAAGTATTTTTTTGTTTTTTTAATTTGCCTCACTTACGGTGTTAAGATTAGGTAAAATGTAATTTGTGAAAACTCTTCAATTCTTTAGTTCCTCCTTAATTCCACCTTATACTTGAAAATTGATTCCTAAAATTAGATTTTTGTAAGAAAATGATATCCCAAAGGAATGTGGTATTAAAAATATGTGAAATATGTACTCACCAATTTCAAAAAGCAGCAAAAATCTGACAGGACCCATGTTTTCACATTAGGAGCAAAAATAATAATAAAATCTAAAAAGGAAAAAAAAAACAAGTCGTTTACTTAAAGTTAGACTAAGAATATTTTTGATCTAAGGGAACAAAATATTTTTTAAATTTAAAATTAATTTTTAAAATATTGAAGAGAAAATTTTAAAAATTTTATAAAATAGTACAAATCGTTTTCAATCATCAATGTCTTAAAACTCTAGCTGAAATTTGATACCGAATTTAAAATTTGTTTAATATTTAAGCTTTAAAATTCTAATATGCCTAAAGATCTTTATTCTAAGTATACCTATAGGGAATATTACCTACATATTACGTACAATTTTATAAAATAAGCAAATGTACAGAAAATTTAATAATGCTTTTACATTTTCTCAATGTTTGTATAACATTCAATTTGAGACAAAATAAATAGATTAATGTTGTATATAATTTGTATAACATATATGTTGTGAAGGTATAATGTTATGTATACATACCAGAGAGTAATGTTATGTATCTTACGAAAGTAAATGAATGATATTGTGTTTAGTGTAAGTATGTGTATAAATGAACATGAAATCAATGGAGTGTTAAATTTGATTTTAAGCCATCGTGACAATTACAAATTTTTCTGATTATTTTTAGAATAGCAAATTATTTAAAAATTACATTTTTTTCAATGTATTTACTTGCATATACATACACACATACTATATAGAGGTGTACATTATGTATTAGATAATTCCGGAGAAATAGAAGTTTTGCAAATTCATTTCGAAATTCATGAAAAAATTGAAATTATGTATTAGAAAAATTTATTAATAGAAATTTGAACAGTTGTACGTATGTTTGTGTATTTGGTTATGTAACACTACTTTAGAGAAAAACTCAAAATTAAATATTTTGTTACCGTGCAAGCGATTGACAATATTTGTGTACTGAAGTATCTATAGTCTAAACTGTACGACACAGTAAAATTAGTGCTATCGTAGCAATTCCCACTACATCAAGTACTTCACTGTTCGTGTTTGTTAAATAAAAATTCAATGTTTTCTATATACGAATCTTTAGCCTTAAGATTCAGATTTTTTTGTGGTTGAATACGCATACCATTTTTATTCCCTAGAATCTCTGATTTCAGTATGAGCTCTTTGGGACATTCATTGATTTCAGTTAAGCAACACGTTTTTCTTTAAATTTCAAAATAACAAATTCAACAATTTTGTTTCCTATAGTATGAAGAAATAACAGTTTTTGTTGAAGAACTTCATGTCCACATAATGTTTATCTTAATTTTCAATTTAGAATACTTTTACTATTAATGTATTTGAACACGAGACAACTGTAAATTGTTTCGTAACACAACAACTCTTTATTTACAAAACAAACTCGCCATTCATAATTGAAATGTACATACACACAAAACACATACATATGTACATCCAAAAAATGTTACAAGTGAAAATATTCGTGTTTTTATTTTTTTGTGGAAAATATTTTTTATTTATTTTAATATTTTGTTTTTTTATTACAACGTAAACAAAAAAAATTTGTCTGCTACGATTATTCTAGTCCTAGTGTATTTTATTTATATAGGGAATATTTGTGTATGCGTTCTCCTATTAAGGACACCTTAATGCTAAAATGTTACTATTATTTTAAGAAACTCAACCAAAATAAAATATTGTCATTGTTGACATGGCGGAATGAAACAAAGGGAGAGAAAGGAGTCATTTATAATTTTTTTAGAAAGCTTGTTTGATGTTTTTTAGGATTTAAGGATGTTTGAGAGCATTCCGAATTGAAAAGCCAAATGTTTATTTGCAAAAAAGAAAAAGAAGTAAACTTAAATTCACAATTTTACTGGTTCCTGTATTTTTAGTATGTACAAACATTAAGTAAACAAGTTCCGTTTCACATTAATTCGACCATACGAAAATTTCTTTCTTAGAAAAACTGTTCTATTTTCCATCTTTAAATAAATACGAACTGTTAC